TCGGGGGGGGGCTGCCGGTGGGGCGGGAGGGCTCGGGGGCTGCGCCTGGATCCCGGCCCCGCTTCGTGGAGGGTTTTAATGCACCTCCCCGGGAAAGAAAAGGTCGCCGTCGTGTCTTGTCCCCCCTCCCGGCTCCTCGCCTCCCTTCCCAGCGGCAACCGGGCAGCCGTCGGGGGTCGCCCCGATGGGGGAACCCGCTCCCCGCCGCTGCGGGGGTGGGAATGGCCGGGACGGGGCTTCACTCCCACGGACGGATGTTCTCCCGGGCCTAGGGCCATTGGGCTCAGACAGGCGGGGAACTGCGGGAAGACGAGGCCGGAGATGAGCCCGAGGGGTCTTCCACCTCTCCATCGAGACCCGGAGGGAGAAAAAGGAGAAGGGGGGTGATTTCCCCACCGGGGTGGCCGCCATCCGCCCGTCCCTGTCCCTCTCGCCATCAGCTCTTCCCGGGGTTGTGTTTTCCAGGCCCAGCGCCTTCCTCCACTTTCCACTCCTCCCATGCAGAAGTCGGGGGCCCGGGGACCCCGAGCCCCGCGATGGAGCTGCCGGGGATGGATTTGGTCCTGGAGGCGGAGGGAGGGGGGGGGATGGTGTTTTGGCCGGGAAAAGGCCTCGGGAGGGATGAGGCCGGCGCTGGGCTTCGTCCTGCGGCCCAAATTCACCCCGGAGCGGGGAGGGGGGGGGACACCGGGGAGCCCTGGGATTCGTGGCCGGGTGAAGGGACAGGTTTTGGGGGGGTTCCCTGCAAATCACCCCGGGCCTTTGGGAACTTAAGGGAAGCGCCTGGCAGAAACGGGTGCGAAAGGGAGCGTTAGAGGGTCAAAAAGACCAAGGGAAGCGGGGAAAAAGGATGAGCGAGGCCGGGCCGCAGGGGCCGAGCCCGGGCACAGCATCGAACCGAACCGAACCGGGCCGGGGCCAGCGCTCGCCCCCGGGCACTCGCCTGGTTCCCGGCTGGGTCCCGGCTCCGGGTGAACGCACCCAAATCCGCTGGAAAACACCGCAAAAATCCCTCCCGAGGAGCCACCGGGCCCGCCCGCGGCCTTAACCGAAAATGCTCCGGATTAAGACCCAAATTAAGCCCCCCGGAGCGGCGGGGAGAGGGGTCCCCGGGCGGGCGACCCTTCCCCAGGGCACCTAAAATTTTTGGGGCGTTTTTCTGTCCCGAGGTGGCGGCAGGAACGGCGGAAACAGCCCCGGGCTTGGCGGCGTTTCGGCCTCCCTCCGCCCGGTGTCTCGCCGCCGGCCCCGCTGGACCCAGCGTGTTCCCCCGCTCCGCACCCCGCGGACATTGCGCGCTGGCGGAGGCGAGAGGAAAATCTCAGCGGGTACCTTCAAGAGGGCAAAATGAGGGGGGAAAAAAAATAAATTAAAAAAAAATAGCTAAACCCAACCCAAAGTGAAGCGAATCCCGTCTCCTGGAAGCATCCTGGGGCTGCGGTGTTTTCCTCCACCGCACCTGTCCGCGCCCGCGGAGGGAGCCCCGGGAGCTCCCGTCTATTTGTGCGCATGCAAAAATATACCCCATTTCACGCTGGGGGCTACGGAGGGTTTGGGGTTTGTTTATTTATTTTTTTTACCCGGACGGCGGCCTTCTCCCCCCCCCCGCTTCTCGGCGCTCAATCTCCTATTACATACTAAATATAATTCCGATGGCTGACAATCTTTCCCCCCCCACTCCCCCGTCCCACAGGCATCCCGCGGTATCACTCCCAGTCTCCGAGCATGTGCGACAGAAAGGAATTCGTCTTCTCTTTCAACGCCATGGCCTCCTCCTCCATGCATTCGGCGGGCAGCGGCTCCTATTACCACCAACAAGTGACATACCAGGACATCAAACCCTGCGTTATGTGATACGGGGCGGAAAAAACACCTCCTGGGGCCGGCATGGCCTGACACTGAGTGTCCCGTGTGTCCCCCCCGCCTCAAAAAAGGACCCTCTGGGTGGAAAAGAGGAAGGGGGGGTCTCTGCAGACTTCTTCAGGAGGTATAAGAGGGGAGCGGCCCCGGGGCTGAGCTTTGCCCCGCAGCTGAGCATCGGCCGGACCCCCCGTCTCCACCGCGGGGTCCTCAAATCACAGACGGTCTCTGCCTTCTTCTTCTGCTTCTTCCACTGGGGATGGGTTGAGAGGAAAGCAAAAAAAAAGCAGCCGCCCTCGAAAACCCCGGACTGCAACAAAACACTTCCGATGCCTGAAGTCAACAGACAATTCTGTACATTTCCACATTTCTGTTCTCTACTTCTATATTTTATGTACATTAGAAGGAAACCATTAAGCAGGCCAGTAAGTACTAAAGAGAAAAGCAGATTCTGGGTAACTGGCTGGGCTGGTGATATATTCATGTTGGAAAAGGACAATAAACAGCAAATTTGTGCTTTCTTTTTTTTTTTTTTTTTTTTTTAATAATAAAATAATAATTAAAAAAAATTACTAATTCGGTTTTTGTAATTGCCGCTGAGTGATGCCACCATCCTCCCGGCTGGGAGGCGCGGAGCCGGGTCGGGCTGGTGGGGGGGGGCTGGAAGGAACCCCAGCGCCGGCGCATCCCGCGGCCTCTCCGCGCTGCACCGCGGGGAGGAGCGGGCTCGCCGCCGGGGTCCCCCCGCCTCAACCCCCTCCGTCCCGTCTCACTTCGAGCCCCTTCTTCCGAGAATAATTTTTTTTTTTTTTTTTTTTTTTGCCGGCAAACACCAAAAATCTCTCAGAGGGATTTTTCTTATTTTTTTTTTTAGCTATTAATATTTTTTTTTTGCCTGCATGAAGACTGCAGGATCAGACCCTATGCAGAGAGAATAAGGCACTTTGAAAAGAGACAGCCATGCTCATTCTGTTATTTATTCTACATTTTTTTTTGTTGTTGTTGTTGCTAATAATCGAGACACGAATAGTCTCAGTTGATCAGTATTAAATCGGTGAATTTCTGTTGGCAATATTTGCCATATAGACTTTTTTTTTTTAGTTAACCTTTGTAAATTTTAAACCGATCATGGGCTCTGTGTAAAGACAATCCTCCATATGTTTTTATAGAAATATATATATAATGAAGGATTATTCCCCTTCCTCCCGCCTCTATGTTTTTTTTTCACCCTGACTTTGTACAGTTCGGTGACACCTATTTTAATTCTTTCTGCACTGTATAAAATTGTAATTATGTGGGGTTTATTTTTTTTTTCGCCCTGCCCTTTTGTGTACGTTTTGTCCCTAAAGAAAAAAAAAAAAACCGAACCGAAATAAAACATGTATGTTATTTGTACATGGGCTTCACGATTGTATGAGCAGCAAATAAACGAGCATGCGGTGTAACACGCGTAATTATATCTGAGGAGTCTGTGGCCTCCGCCGGGCTCCGCGGAGCGCTCCGCAGTGCGCGGAGTGACCGCGGAGAACCCGGCCCGGCCGCTGCAAACCTTCCTGCGTTTGATGCAACGATTCCCCATCTCGGTGGAGGCTGAAAAAGGACTTTTTGGGGGTTTGGTTGCGGCTTTCGAGGGGTGTCCCGGGTCTGTGTGTGTCCCCCCCCGCCTTTCGCTACGCGGAAATATTTAAAATGAGGATAATGAAAGGAGGAGGGAGGAAAAGTGGAGGCGGATTTTATTTTTATCTTTTTATTGGCATTATTATTTTATTCCCCCCCCTCCAAGGAGAAAGCAAAAGGCGGTGTTTGACAGCTCTTTGCCTCTTGTTTGGACACAACCCGCGGCTCCTTTTCCCTCCTCCTCCTCCCTGAAGAAGGACACGGGCATTTTTCGGGCAGCCGAAGCCGCGCATCCCTGCGGAGCCGCGCCGGGATCCACCGCGGAACCTCCGCCGGTAACGGCCGCGCCGAGGAACGCGCTCAAAATTTCCCGCGGTTTTATTTTGGTTTTTTGTTTGTTTGTGTTTTGTTTTTTTGTTTTTTTTTTTTTTTTTTCCCCGAGTGCAAAAGAAATTAAAAAAATAATCCAAATCAAGCAGAAGAACTCCTGCACCATCACCGCCCTGCGCTGGGCAGCGGTAAATCCGCAGGGAGGGGAGCAGGCGGCGGGGACACCGGCTCATCTGAGGGGAAAAAAAAAAAAAAAAAGGTCTTTTCCTGCGAAGTTTGGGTTTATTTGGTGTAATTAAGGTTATTGCCATATCGAGGAAATTTTGCTTTAATCCCCGGGGCCAACGTTTCTATAATCAACACTCATCCTACGAATATACACACATAAAAAGATGGACACAAATTAATTTGATTATTGACCGCCTATTTCTGCCTTTCTATAGGGAAATTAGGTTACTGCGCACTAATTAGCTCAGCTGTGTGTAATGAGTTTAATTAAAAGTTAGCTGATAACAACAACAACAAATCTAATTATTCCTTTAATTAAGGCAGGTGGGAGAGGCTTTATCAGAACTGGTGGAGGCCTTTCTCAGAGAGTAGGGCTTTTTTGTTGTTGTTGCCTTGGGTTTTTTTGGAGGGGGTTGGAGGGTTTGGGGTTTTGTTTTGTAGAGCAGGTCTGTTTAAGAATTCGACCAGCAGTATTTATTGGGGTTTTACTGCTTTTATGCCTTTATGGATTGACTCTTCTGTCCATCACCTGCGCTGCTCTCCATCCCTGCTGGAGGTGAGTTGTGACCATCCTTTTTATACACAACCTGAAGACTGAGGGGTTTGGGTTTTTTTTTGCTCCTGAAGCACATATCTGCGCTAGGTGTGGCTGAGATTAAGGTCCAGGGTTAGGAGTTCAGTCTCTGCCAAGTGGTTCTTCCTTCCTTGAAATCTCGCTGTAACTCCTAAGGTTCATTTTCATCCTTCAGATGAATTTTGGACTCTCTCTTTTGCCTGCAGCACTGATGTCTCCACAGCTCGGCCTGTGCTGGACTAGAAAGGGCAGAGCAGGCATCTTGCAAGCCTCAGGTCCAGCTTGAAGGGGTTTGATAGCTGGTCCCCAACAAAGGTTTGCATGATTCATTTTTTTCTCCCTCCCGTCGGTCTCCAAACCTGGAAAAACAGAACCACCACATACCGTGGACGCCACATATTCCTCAAGCCAGTGAGCGCAGTCTAAACAGACAGCTCTCCATCTCAGACACCCACCTACCTCAGGGAGGAGAGGATGAAACCCCGCAGGCTCCTGCCTTCTGCACCAGACAAATTTGATATTCCCCTGCACGTATTGTCCCAGGGGATGGCAGTAAACCCAGCTGCTGTCACAAGAGGTCCTTTTTACAAGCTCTCCTTGTCCGTTTGCAGGGTCGGTTGGGCTCTGGTGGGAGGTGAGGAGAAAGAAGCTTGCTCAGAAATGCTGTTGGAGGTCTCTAAGAGGAGATGAGACATAGGCTTGCTCAGAAATGCGGTATTTGCTCACATAACGGCCCAAATCTGAGCGTGGTCAGCTGCTGGGGCTCGGTGATCTGCTCTCTGCTCCTCGTCACCCACTCCCTGATCTGTAGGTGATACACCATCACGGCTTTCTTTGGGGTTTTTTTTGGCGTTTCTACTATAGGAAAGAGTTTCTCATTGCAGATGCCCCGTGCAGGCCCATGACTGAAATTTTGGAGCATGACCTGATGCCTCCAGTGGGATTTGGCACAAGATGCAGCCCTGGCTCAGGGGACCTGGGGATCCCCAGGCGTGCTGCACCCAGGGATATAGGAAGGATTTGGATGGTGTGCCTTGTTGGCAGCCTCGATACTTCCTTCTCTTCCTCCCTGGGTGCTCCCTCCCACCCTTGCAGGGCCACCATGGAGCTGGAGCTCCACATCTGCTGCTGTCACCTGCCCCTGGGCTCATGTCCCCGGGGGGGGGGTGTGCTTATGGAGGGGGGCACACGCTTCTATGTAGGGGTACAGCTGGAGGGAGAGCGGGGTCAAGCAGGGACCTCAAAGCAGGGACATGCACCCTGGGGACACTGCAAAAGGAGATGTGGGGCCGGGGGGGGACATATATATATCTTGGGGGAGTCCATTTGGAGTGGGGGCCCGTCAGGGCAACCTGCGGACCGTTTTCGGGGGCAGGGATGCCGTGGAGGGGAAGGGGGGGATTTGGAGGGATGCTCGCCGGGGGGGGACACACCGGGGAGGGGGTGGCCGGGGCCGTTCCCGTGGTGGCAGCGCCACCTGCTGGCGGCGAAGCGGCACGACCGGCACCAGCCGCCCCGCGACCCCGCTCCCCGCCTAGCCCCAGTTTTCCCCAAATTAGGCTTAAAACCCGGCCTGTTCTTGCCTGTTTCTGACCACGGGGTTAGTGTTAAAGGTTTGTTTTCTTTAGTTGATTTATATATTTTTTTTCCTCTCCCTTCTGGCACCCGGAGCTCTGAAGGTGACCATCTCTTTAGCTTCAGATTAAGCATCTCAACATCGGTGATGGAGCCAAGTGAAACTCGTTTGTGGGACGCTGCTGGATCAGGTTTGTCCCTCGCCCAGGTGGGATGGACAGGGATACTTGGCATGGGATAGCATGAAGGAGCCCATGAATACAGAGGCTTGGCACATGGTGCCCTCAGATGTGGTTGGTTACCCAGGCTGGCAGAAAAACTGCTTTGGTAAGGAATGGAGTGGACTAGATGATCTCTGGAGGTCCCTTCCAACCCCTACTGTTCTGTGAAAACTGAGTCCCTTGGAGACTTAACCAATGGGTACAGGCACCTTTAATCTTAAACGGGTGTTTGGAAGGCCAAGTTCTGAGTTTGGTGCCAAGTTCTGAGTTTGGTACCAACTTCTTGGCAGGTTAAAGATCAGATCCATCAGAATAATTGGGATTTCTACCTGACTTCTCCCTCGCAACCAAGAAGTTTGGGACCTATGTACCTTGTGGACTCCAAGCCACAGCTCTTTTCACTTTTGAAAGGGGGGGATTTGATTTCTATGTCATTGAAATGCTTTTGGAAGACGACACTTGAACATTTGTTCCCTTTCTATGCATATTTCCAAGCATGATTGCTGCCTGACACCAATCTCTGTAGGAAAAGCCAGTGCTGGGGTCCTCCTGTGGGCCAAGAAATCTTTGCCACTGGGAGTCATCCTCAGGGACAAAATACCCGCTGCAGGTGAGCTTGTGTCTGTCTAAAGGAGACCCCCCTGATGAGCAGGAGATGCCCTGGGTGTTAGCAGCAGCTCTGCAGTCGTGAGCTGATGTTATTCATGGAAACAATTATCAGATTGGCTCAACAAGTGAGGAAAGGCATGCAGCTCGGTTGGTT